GCGTATGTGAACACATTTGGGACTAACCGGGTTTACTAGAATCCCACCACTCCACCACAGAGTCACCGCAGTAGACGTGAGATGAGCGCTGTCGCTCCGCGGCACTTGTTTGCCTTCCATTCTTTCTAATTTCTACGTTTTTTCATGAACTTTATCATCACTATTGCCACTATCATTATTCTGAAAATCTGCCATGTTGAACATGTGAAGGGTAACCAAATTTTCCCAGAGGGCGCTGTTGCATGTGTATAACGAAGGCCCAAGTTCTGGAGTTGGGTCTCTCTTGTATAGTCATGCCAGTTTTCTAGCATTCAGTAACATTACTTGGAGAGTGGACTTGGGCCCATTATGCATGCACATGGTAGCCCTATGTATTAGTAACATTTTTCTGGGTCTAATTCAAATTGACCATATGATGGACTTAGGCCCTTCTCATCTTCAGGTATTCATATATATATATATGTATATTGCTTGTATATCTATATGAATTCGCTCATTTTATTGTTTAGTCGGTTGTGATATTGATGTGCTGCGCCTTTGATCATTTTATGTAAAAAAGCGCAATATAAATAAATATAATAATAATAATAATAGTATCAACTAGGACTGGTGTGAATGTGCAATTTATTCATAGCTTTACCAACAACCAGGAACACACCTGTTTATCTCTGGTTGGTAGTGACTTTGCATCTGTAGCTGAGTGACTTGCCTTATGTCGTGCATTGAAGCCTGAAACATTACAAGAAATGGATATAAATCAACAGCCACTGGGATATCAATGGCAACAACAGGAGCAATCATCGCACACTGTTCATAGACAAAAACAGCTGTGAAATGCCTATACACCCTTCTACGCAGATATCTATACAAACATCTAAACATATTATGCAACACACGACTGTTTCTTGGTTCTAACTTTACCCGCATATTACTGGCTTGCATGCGGAAGTAAACGTGTGCCTCCTCATTCTGGTGCACAGGGTTTAGCTTGTGCTGTGTTTGCATCGAGCCAGCGTTCCTCGCATCGCTTGGGTCCCACGTTTGGATGTGTATCTCTGCTACATATTCTCCGCACACCTGCCCCTGTTCACATGACAGGCAAGAATTTATATCTGTGGCTCTCAACCCTTGAGTCATAATACAAAAGTAGGTTGTCCATGCATTATTAATCAGCTGCACCAAGCTTCTGGAGTGAATATAGAAACTTTTGCTTATAGTTTTAAAACAACGTGCTGTCAAGTTATATCACTCAATGCAGCCAAAGAATGTGAAGAACAACTTCTTTAAATGCTACCTAACTTGAGCACAATCGTTAGTGGGCACATTAGTTTGGATCTCTATGTTTTCATAACAATAAATGAGCATTTTCGCCTGTAAGAGATAGAGTAAGAGTAGAGTAATAGATTTGTCACATACATTATTAAACTGTGCTATAGAATCCTTGTCGCACCAGCAGTACTGTGCAGTCCTCAGCAAATGTGGCTTTTCTTTCAGCTTGGGATCTGTCATGGTACTGAGAGCAAAAATAATATTTTTACTGTACGACTAATTAATGCGTAAAATCGCCACCACACCATAGACGGTATTTGGGGTTCTTGTATATATAAGATAGCCGAGTCGGTGTACAGTTAGTGACAGGTTAACTGTGCATTGTCAGGATAACTTGTGTACTGTCTGCAGTGCATGCGTGGTACGGTAAAAATACACGCGTCGGACGTCCTAGTCGAACGGCAATTCTTGACGGTCGATTCCCGCGCTGGCAAACTTTTATTGTGGTGGAATTTAAACGGGGCGGAGGTAATTCAAACGGGGCGCAACGATTCAAACGGGGCGCAACGATTCAAACAGGGGGGAGTTTTCCCAAACGGGGCGCGCGCGCCCCGTTTGCGCAACGTAGGGAGAACCCTGTAAGGGACTATACTTTACTCAGTTCGACATTTTTCAAAAGGCCTCGTCCACTCTCTCTCACTCTCTCTCTTTTGCCTAAGACACAACCACTGACAATTCCCTCTCATTTTGCTATGCGAGCCTACCTTATTTCCAAATTATAGATGTGGTCGATGTCAATGTGGTCGTCATCTTTTTCGATGACGGGGACAAACTTTACACGGTACCGATGTTGACTGACACTGGGATAAAATCTGTTTTGTAGCAAGTCGTCAATGCCAGCACGTAGATGATCCTTCTACATGGATTATTACATATGGGGAATATTAACATCGAACCAAGAACAAATTTATTGCAGTTTAACGGTACCTGTGTAAATTGGGAATGCAAAGTCTTTGAAAGCCACCTCAGGTGCTATAAATTCTGCTATATAAGCTGAAAGTCGGCATAGCAGAATTTATAGCACCCAAGATTTTATAGCTACACAACAGTATATTACGCACCTCAGTGAACTAGCCTACAGTATATACTAACCAAGGATGATAGTATAAGGAGGGGTTATAAAATACTGGGAATTTGTGGAGTAACAACATAGAAAAACAATGGTGCAGCTTCATTTATGGTGAGCCTATACCTGATAGCCGGAAGGCTATTATGCTGTCACAATTTCTCAGATTATTACCTTATAAATATGTAGGTACATGGAAGCATCTTATGAGCCACGAAATACGTTTAAAACTACTATCTGCTCACAGCAACTACCAATTGCAAAGATGCTGTCTTTTGTTTTAAATGATTACAAGAATGAAATTAACTGTGAAACTTTTGAAAAATAATATCGCACCTGGTATTCTGTGAGCCGTATTGCTTTGACAGTGCCATCATCGACGATCCCGATATAAACGATTCCTCCATCCCCCGTGTTAAGAAAGGCATTCAGCACACTGTGAGAATATTCCAAAATAACCAAAGAATACATATGTAATCACACAAAAGCTCTAGCAATACAATGGCAGAATCGTTATACCTACGAAACTCCCATGCTTGAGCGAGCAACTGAAAACACAGAGCTCATCTTAGTAGAGAGGCGCAAATGAAAAAGTGGCCTGGATAAAGATTTAAAAATCATTGAGAGGTAGAGAATGTCATCCACCCTAGGTAGTTAGTACATGGGGTGGGGCACCTGGCTAGGTAGGATGCCATCAAAGTTTTTTTCAAATAAGGCCCTTTTAACCCTTTTTCTGCTGAATTGCAATTTTTTCAAAATCCGATAATTTTAGCCATAATGTAAAGGAAAATGCTCATGGAATGCTCAGTTTTTAGAGTAGAAGGTTTATTCAACACTCAAAATAAAGCTCTTGATCTGCTTGACGTGACAGAATAATACAAATTTTAAAATAATTAATTCAAAGGGGTCAAAAAGGGTCAAAGTTTAGGCATTACCCTTTTTCCCCCCGGGACCAGACCCTTTTTCACGATTGCCCCCCTAAGGGGTCATCTGGTAAAGTAATAGGTAAATACTACCATTCACAGGCTTAGGGACATATTGAGGAAGCTTTTCGGAAGTTTTCATGAGAATGATTGATCAATTAGGGGCCTGGTACTGGGGGTCCAAACTTCGACCCTATTTAAGGTCTCCACGTAATTTAAGTTTTTGTGAACTGTCCAATGTGCATGATGACTTCATGTTTAACTTCCTCAGTGTAGTATAATTTTTTTAGCTATTTAATGCTCAAATTTGGCGCACATGTACTTTGATGAGGTGCTTACGCTAATTAGAGTGTGCGACCCCAACAAATTTGCCTTTAGTGGGCGTGGCATCGAATTTTCAAATGGCGCCATGAAAGTTCAACATACACTTCTTAAGACATTGATCAACAACTGTCTAATTAACTTTTGCTGACTTTTTTACTCGACTGTGGTTTTAAACTAGACACGAGGAAATAATTAAGGTAATATTTAAATATGATAAGATGTTTCTCATTTGCATATTTTCAAAATGGCTGCCGTGAAATGCCAAAAATACATATGCTTGGGCGATTTCAATTCTAAATAATATTTTTGAGTTTTAGTTAAAATTAACTTTAAATGAATTCTTATTGTGTTAACTTCTTATGTTAAACATGTCCATTATATTATATTCAATAAATAAATAATAAATAAATGGCTATGCATACGCCATGTGTTCATTGAACAGCAACCGCGCATGCAAAACCTTGCGACTACAGCACCAGAGGTACATGACGAGTTCATGGCTGGAAGGTTCTCAGTAAAGAGGACAGATAGCAAATTCTGCCAGATACCCACTGATCAAGCACTAGAGCACATCAACCGAGTAGCAAAGGTCAGTGGAGGAATTGTTGGAATAAACCATCTGGAAGCAGCGCGGGATAGGTGGTGTTTAACGTACAATGAACGTTCACGGATTGCTGATGACACGCTCGCTCTCTACAACCTCCAGCCGACAGACAGCAATGACGATTTAAGCCACAGAGACTCTGGTCCAGCAGGTATTCAACGAGATGAAACTGATGTTAGCAGCTTTGTCAGAGAGTTCAAGCTTTGGGGTATTTTCCAATCGTACGGAAAACCTGGTTTGTCTGTCCACAGGTGACGTTGCTCCTGATGATGTGAGGGATGAGCTACTTTCTGCTGAAGTGAAGGGTACTAGCTTAGTCACAAATTTTGTCAAATCACGCCTCAAAGACCATTCTGTTGACTTTTATTCTAGGATTCCTCAGAATAAGGCAAAAACTTTGGCAACAATGTACAAGGTGAAAGTCCCAGTCCAGAAAGACAAGGTGATTGAGGTAAAGGCAGAAAGAGATATTTTCCGTCGACTTCTGGTAGCCTCAGGTAGTGGGAGAGACGTTAACTTGCAAAATATTCTCAAACACGAACTCTCTCCAGTTCCACTTTCCCTTGTAAAGACAAATCGACAGCTTGTGTCTGCCAAGAACAAAGCGGACCTCCAAGACATCCTCACCGAGAAAACAACTGCAAAAATAGTGACAAACCTACCCAAGAGTCAGTCTCCCACCTGTCTCCTGATAGATGCACCAGCCCTCATTCAAGCCATTGGTAAGCCTGAAAAAGCCAGTACCTTTGGGGATCTTGCAGACGTCTTTTCGGGCATTGTGAAAGGAAAGTTTGGAAAGGGATATTCTCGAGTTGATGTCTTGTTCGACAGATATTTGGAGACATCCATCAAGGATGGGACACGTTCTGATCGGGCTGGATTGATGAGACCAATCAGAAGGGTGATAGATTCAAGACATGTCAAGTTACCACAGACCTGGAAACAGTTTATCACTCATTCCAAGAACAAAGCAGAGCTGGCTTCGTTTCTGAGTAAAGAACTTATGACGAGTGCCAAAGACCAATCAGAAGGGCATGAACTGATAATCGCAGGTGGATTCGACGATGCAGATCAGGCTTGGTCGTCATGCCGAAGTGACATCTCACAGCTGAAATCTAGCCACGAGGAGGCAGATACTCGGCTCATACTACATGCGAAGGAGGCCAAGGGGAGCAAGGGGAGGAGTTCAGTCGAGTCCTTGCCACCTTCCCAGGATGCACTCCATTTGCATCTTGATCGTGCAAATTACCAGG